AGCAGATGCCATGAAAATATTTATAGAAGAGACAGAGGGAAGCCACATTACGTCGGTGAGAAAGTGACTGGATCCGAGACCCCAAGTCAGGGTCTATTAAATTTAGAAGACATGATACTCTACTCTAATTTGCCTCTCGATTAATAATTAAAAACTATAAACTATAAACATGTTCAGCGCTAAATGGTGTTAATTACTCAACATCCCCTTCTTGAAATACGTACTTCGTCTCCATTGTGTCCTCCAGTCATGAACTAACTCATTACCGTGTGACGGCATTGAAATTTAATCTTGATTTAGCTCTTCTGTTTTCCTGACCAACGCACGTAAGTAAATTAAATATAGGAATAATCCTTTATTTTGCAAGGGAAACGTGGAAATACATTAAATTTCATAAAAAAAATATTAACTAATTGAGGTGATATTGCATTAATTACACAACGTTCCCTTCTTGGAATACGTACTTTGTCTCCATTGTGTCATCAGATAAAGAATCAACTCATTACCGTGTGATTGCATTGAAATTTAATCTTGATTTTGCACTTCCTGGCCAACGCACGTAAGTAAATTACATATAGGAATAATCCTATATTTTGCAAGGGAAACGTGGAAATACATTAAATTTCATTAAAAAATAATTAATTAATGTTGAAACTTGACTAATGCATGGAATAATAATGCAACACAAAATGTACTTAGAACAAAATGTATTGAAACAAAAAAGTGTACACAATATTTACATATAGTCTTTTGTATATTCCTGGTAAGACCGTTACTGGAGAATGTGTTGACTGAGTCGCAGTCGGACAGAGTCTCTGGTTGAATCTCTTGATTCCTCCCTCTCTTCCTGGTACCAACCATATTTATATGGTCGGTACGCCACTATGCAAATTAGGTGGATCTTACCACAACAATTAAGGAGATATTGGGTTAATTACACAACGTCCCCTTCTTGAAATACGTACTTTGTCTCCATTGTGTCCTCAGATAAAGAATCAACTCATTATAGTGTGACGGCATTGAAATTTAATCTTGATTTTGCTCTTCCTGACCAACGCACGTAAGTCAATTACATATAGGAATAATCCTTTATTTTGCAAGGGAAACGTGGAAATACATTAAATTTCTTTAAAAAATAGCATTGGTTTGCTTAGAAGCATACAGCATGTAACTTTTTCTATAGTTTTCCCATTTTTTTTTTAAATATATAAAAATAATTCTTGATAAAACATCTTGATAAAACATCGATATTTATCAAATGGATTTTATGAACTGTCGGCTGATGTCTTTGAAATTTTATTTTCCTATCGGCCTGAAGAATTTATCTTTGAAGTAATGTTAAATCTCATTATCAATTATTAGAAGCCATTAAGCTCTATTTTACGAGAGGCCGGAACATTTTTCTATGATGCGAAATTGATGTCATAATTGAATCTACAGCCTGTTTTGATCAACAAGGCATACGTTGAACAACGCAGAGGAAAGATCAAGTGGCGGGAAAAAGAAACACACAGGAAACGATCGCTTGGCTGAAAAAGAAAACCAAAAGGGAAGACATTTCTCTTGGATTGTCAGTCATTTTGACCTTTAGCTTCCGACATTGTCCTCTCAAACACCTGCTGGATTTTGCGGGATCATTAACAAATAACGTCATATATTATTTAAATATATCCCCTGACTGTAAACTGTAGACTAAGTATAAACGTTAAAAAAGCACCACGGATATTTGAATCCGAATATTAGTGTTCAATACTCAGACTTTCCTTTAGTTTAACAATGAAGCATTTTTTTTTTACGAACGGTATAGGAAGTTGCCTTTCAGAAGTTAGGTAAAGTATTAAGATAGAAGAAACTGTCGCTAGAAATAAATAAATCTCAGATTATGTTAGGCACTTTCTACAAAGATGAGGATGAGATATATTTTATACAAGGATGTTCAAAATGTAAAAGCCACGAGAGCCACTCGTAGAGCGTAAGAAGCACTGTTTATGCTGATATTTGGGGATTATAACAGTTAACCCTAGACTTGAACGGTTTAAGATGGTAGAATCGTCTTGCTAGTCGGTTGCGCAAAGAAGCGGTACGTGGGAAGAAACTGCTGAATACGAAGGGAATGAAAGCAATTCGTTATATGTGTGACATGGCGGCCATAGCCTTTAAGGTTAGAACTAGTGGAACTAAGGAATATTGCTGATTTGAGCGCTTTCCATGGAAATAGCGACAGAGCATTGAGGGACTTTCGACTTTTCGACTGTGAGAAAGAGGTTATTGGATGGAAAATAATTTGTCACCCACAAGAGTTTCATAATGACGGTCTTTCCCATGACACCGCTTGTTTTACCTACCTTGTCTCTTCGGTAGCGTTTATTGTTTTAAAAAACGATGAAGAAATCTAAAACATATGAAAGGGAATTTACACGTTTTTCGTTATTGGTAATTTGCACCAATATGATAAACACAAGGTACTTCCATTTTTTCGCGGGAAAACAGCATAGGATAATGAAAAAAAAAAACACATACTTAATAAAAATAAAGTTTTATCGTCAAAATGTTTATGTTATTATTAAGATGAAAGACCAAAGAATTTTTTTGATGATTTAAAAAAAAAAAAAATCCTTTCTAACATGTTCGAAATTTTGGTTAAAATCTGGTTTACGCATAATAATAACATTGACTTTTTTGTGCTTTTTTTCTGTTGAAAACACATTGATTTGGAAATTCATGTAAAAATCAAATAATTGTCCGATTATTCACTTATGAAGGAAATAATTTTGAAATTTTTTAGAAAATTTTGGTTAGAAATATTATTTTTACATATGTTACCACTTACTTTAATTTCATGGGCACCTCGGCGTGGTGTAATGGTTAGCAAGCTTGTCTCGCTAGAACAGTTACGACTGAGTAGTGAGTTCGATCCTCACTGGGTGCCTCATACTTTCGGCCTTGTGCCACATCTAAGCTACGCTTAGAAAATCTTTAACTTGGCAAAAATATTTGCTAAGTAACAGTCTAACTCTCTGCCCTCGGGCGGAGAGGAACCCGGACGAGGCTCCGCCGAAGGGCAGAGTCTCGTTCGGGTTGGTTGAGTGATCCTGAACCCGCTTATGCGGGTTCAAAGAGGGAATATTTTTGGCCGAGCCTACGGGCTCGGAAATCCCAGGTTAAACCCGGCCTTCTGCCATTTGTTACCCTATGGCGTAGCTAAATATCACTTACTTAATTTCATGAAACTTCACAAAAACAATTTCCTATCGATATTTGTCATCTTACTACACCCAATTCATGATCTCTTACCTATATATAAAAGAAATTCATATTGCCAAAGTAAGAGCAGGTTGGTAAAATATCAAGAGCGCTAAGAATTGCCGGGACGTAAATAGAAAATTTTAAAAAATTAATGGCATCCTTTAATGAGTACTCTTCAGTCGTTGACTATTTGCGTGCAGTATCATATAACTTAAGATTATAAGGATTTATTCTTAGTAAATGGTTTTATTAAAGATATTTGGATTTGGATTAATCATTATTTGTGTATCTCCTCTTTTAATTTTCACATTTTTATTGCAATAAAGAATTTTGCATTTCGAATAATTATCATTTAGTAAAAGTGTCTTTTCGATTAATTTTCATTTAAACAATTTACAATTCCTACCCTTTTCACTGTCTAAACAGTTAAATGTAACCCAACTTCTACTACAACAGCTTCTTATCTCGCACTACCCGGCTGTGGAATTCCTTTCCTTTTACTTGCTCTCTTGATAGATATAATTTTCAAATATTCAAATGTAATGTCAGTCGGCATCTTCTGTCGCCTTGATCTTGATCCCTGTCCTTCTCTGTATGCTTTCCTCAAAAACGCCTCTTTACTCTTGTTCCCAATCCTCTGTAACCCCTTGCGGGCTAGTGGCACTCCCGCCTTGCTTGGGGTGAATTTAAAAAAAAAAGAAAACAATAACTAATACCTGACTTGAAGGATAGCATAGGTCTTTTTTTTTCTTTTTTTGCAGCAAGTGTCAACCGATCATTCCACAGCATGAAAATTCTAAGAGACTCTTAAATGAGAACATGACTTATAAAAAAATGCATATTGCAAAAGTAAGAGCAGGTTGTCGAAATATAAAGAGCGCCAAGTAATACCACGGCATAAATAAAAAAATACTAGCATCTTTTAACGGGTACTTTTCAGTAGTTGACTATTTGCATACAACTTAAGGTTGGAAGAATTTTTATAACTAAATTGTTTTATTAATGATATTTTTATTTCGAATAATTATCATTTGTGGATTTCTTGTTTCAATTTTGCATTTTTATTACAATAAAGAATTTTGCATTTCGAATAATTATCATTTAGTATACTTGTCCTTTCGATTAATTTTCATTCAAACAATTTACAATTCGAATAGATATTGTCTATTTACATGGCGGTAATTCTTGGCGATCTTGATATTGTGACAACTTCCTCTTTGGCAATATGAATTTTATTTATATATATGTAACAGATGATGAATTGGGTGTAGTAAGATGACAAATCTTGATAGGAAATCGTGGAGAGTTGTCAACGCCTGTGTCGTGAAGCGAGACGGCCCACAAACTCTGGTTCGTATTGTCTATTTTTAATACGTTTCCTAAACACGAAATGTTTTACATTTATATAATCCAAAAGATTATAGGCACTCATACCAGTTCCAAATCCAGTCTACTATGCTAAAGAGGGTGTGAAAAGAAAATGGATATATTTTCTGAAGGTTCGTGCGTAAATTTTCTACGCAAGTTCTCTCAGGGAGCAACAGGTGTACACATTATTTTTTTTTTCATTTGGTGAAACAGAAACAACAATAGTATGAGAAAGAGAGAGAGAGAGGCAACAAGAAACGATTGAAATAAAGGTGATATAAAAAAAAGATAAAGAAATTATTTCAGAGAAAGTGAGAGACGAATCTAAAGTGATTAAGAAGAAAGAGAGAAAGAGAGAGAATAAAATAAAGGAGGGTAGAGAAAAC